TACTAGAATTTTAGAATTAATAGGTCATCTTCTGGCAGATATTATCGTTTAAGGTGACATGAATGGTGACATTGTCATACTCTCGGTGCCTAATAGGGTGAATGCACCCTCATTCAACCTAAAATACATACATAGTAGCAGAAAGCATCAAAACATTCTAAATTCTTTAAAATTAAAACTATACCAATGGATATAATTTCTAAATTTTCACTTATAGTTTAAAGAAACCTATATTTTGTTCAATTTCAATGTTGTTAATGTATATTTTAGATGCAGCAAGCCTTTGCTGTACAGATTGAGGAGGCTGTACAGACGGAGAGACAGACGACGGCAGAGAAAATGTTGTTCCTGGAAACCAAGTACAGTGAATTGATTGATCAGCTACGTAACATACAGCCTATCTTGTCCGAGTTTATAGAATCTTATATACTCCTGCAGAAAGAGGTTACACAGTTTCCTAAAATTATACGTAAAACTGTCAACAGTGTGAAGAAAGAGGTTTGTTTGAATTTATGTAATCTTCATATGATTTTGTTTAGAGCTTAATGGTCTAGTACATGTATGCAACTTGATTAGCATTAATTAGACATATCATAGAAATTTATTTTGTCAAACCTGTGAAAAAAGGCCATGGGCTGTCAATGAAGGTTTGTCATAAAAGTGGTCTTTAGTTACAGGTTGGTCTTTATTTAGAGGTGGTCTTAAATATAGGTTTTTCTATTTAAAAAAAGAAGGAAAATTTTATAAAACAATTCTTAGGCTTGGTTTGTTATATTTTCTTTGACAGGTTTAATGCCAGTCTATATTGACAACATGTAAAATTCTTTTTTTTATCACATGAAATTTTAAGCCGGAAAATAATGGAAAAGAAAAGAAATCAATATTTGATGAGCAATTGTTTTATGTAATTTTTCATATGTTATGTGTTTAATGATGAACAAAAACATGATACTTGCATCACCTTGAAAATATATACAGGCAATATCACATCATGAATTTACAGGGCGTTTTTCACTTCATTAGCAGGGGCCCTTAAAGTGCTAATTTATCTGAAGAAAATTCTTTAAAATAGAATTAGATTAAATTAATATGAATTCCCCCCCCCCCCAAATTAAGGGAAGGGCCCCTTCCCTTACCTATGAGAAGACAAATCATTCATTTTTTAATAAAATAAAATTTACATTAAGTTTTTTCTACATTCCGTTTTATTTTTCTCCAAATTTAAGTGAAGGACCCCTTACACTACCTGTGAGAAAACAAAGCCTTGCTGAAAAGTTTTGTGATGTTGTAATTTTCATGTTTTACAGGTGGCAGGTGCTATAACAGGTGTTAGTGAGTACAACAAGGAACTGGTACAGAAATATCAGAAGGAGATGAGACTGAGGAAAAAATATCATAATGAACTTGTTGAACTTAAAGGTATGGTAAACTTTATATTAATTGTCACCTAAGTGCAATAACTGGTTAACTAATATTAAATTAAGAAGAGCTTTACCCATTTGATGCACTAAGGTGTCATAATGTTCAATAGAATAAGGGCTTAATGTTCAATAGAATAAAGATGTTTCATTAGATTAAAGTTGTAGGCGTCCGTGGCCGAGTGGTTAAGGTCTTTGACTTCAAACCACTTGCACGAAGGGCACTTGATGTCTTCCTCCACCAGTAAAGCTGGAATGTCGCCATATGACCTATACGGTGTCGGTGTGACGTCAAACCAAATTAAACAAACAAACAAATTAAAGTTGTTACGGGAAGACATTATAACTGTCATAGGTGTATAAATTCACCTTAGGGAAGTAAGAGGTTAACACCCATTTAAATTTAATAGGAGACGAGTTTACCTGTTTACTGCACTAAGGTGACAATATTATATGATCAGTATGAAAGAAATGTAAACTTAATGACTGAGCTTCACTGTCAAATTCTCAGAATTCAGGAAACGTCATGGTAACAGATTTGGGATAGAAGTTTGTTTTTTTTAATCTGGGACTTATTTTTTTGTTTGTTTTTCATACTGTGATACAAATTTTGTTATCATTGTTACTTGTAGATTTATGTTTATATTTTGTGTGTTTAGGTAATATATGAGTATTTTGTAGCATAAGATCTCTGATTAAAGATATATTTATGTTTATATTTTGTCCGTTTAGGTAATACATGGGTTTTTTGTCTTGAAATTGTTGTAGATTTATGATTATATTTTGTGTGTTTAGGTAATATACGGGTATTTTGTCGTGTACGACCTCTCATTAAAGAAGATGGTAACGGTCAGCAGGCTGAGAACATTGTTAGTCTAGATAATGATGATGACGGTGTACTATATATCAACAGTAAAGGTAGAACACAGACCTTTGACGTAGATAAAGTGTTTGGTGAAAAAAGTACACAAAACCAGGTAATTAATCAAATTTTACTATCTTTTGTTTTTATAAATATAACAGGATTTTTTTATCTGATCAACAGATCTTAATTTCTGTTCTTGTACAAAATTTCTGTAAGGATTGAAATAAATAGTATATCAGTTCCTTTAAATCAGTGTTTTACAGGAAAATCAGTATAAATTTGGAAACAAATCATTATAAAATAAATCCATGCGCAATAACTAAGACCCCATTTTAAGTAAATCAATACATCAGAAAATATTTTTACAGACGACACGGAAAAGGTTGGGTAGTTCTGTTTGTCTGATAAAATCATCTTAATATTGCTTTATGGTACTGAATTTGTGGCCGGAAAGTGCTAGGAAACCAGTAGCCTGTCTGCAAATATTACTTGAATTTTTGTACATTTTACAGTCATGTCATCACTAAAAATGTGTTTATTTAAAGATATAATTTATCATTTTAGGTATTTGAGGAAGTGAAGGCATTGGTAACATCATGTATAGATGGTTATAATGTATGTATATTTGCCTATGGTCAGACTGGAAGTGGTAAAACTTATACCATGGAGGTAGGTTAAATGATTAAGATGCTTTGCTGAAGTACAAAGGTACATTGCTGCTGTATTTTTTTTTTTAGTCTTATATGTTCGATCTCTGAATGTGATAATACATGATTAATGAAAAATATCCATAGCTTTCATTTCTTCATGGCTGAATTAACCTCAACTTTGGTCATTTGATGGTTATAATTCCTAGTATAACATCAACCTAATACACAAATGAAATTATTTGTCTAGAATTGACATTATAAAGCATTATTTTGTAAACATGAAAGAGTGTTGCTAAATTCTATATATTTTTTTTTCACTAAGTAAATACTACAATAAAGCATAAAAATATTTTCTGTTTTTATGCCCTTCACTGCTTGGGGTTTGGGGGATATAAATTTGCCCTTTCCTGTTTATCAGTGTTACTGTCAGTTCATAGACTTACAAAACAGTGAAATGTGTGGGCACACCCTGTATCCTTTTGATTTGCTATGTATTGTTCCATGTTTAATATAGAATCAACATTGCATGATTGACGATATATAGAATCAACATTGCATGATTGACGATATATAGAATCAACATTGTATGATTGACTAAATATAGAATCAACATTGTGTGATTGATGATATATAGAATCAGCATTGTATGATTGACGATATATAGAATCAGCATTGTATGATTGACAATATATAGAATCAACATTGTATGATTTACGATATATAGAATCAGCATTGTATGATTGACAATATATAGAATCAACATTGTATGATTGACGATGTATAGAATCAGCATTGTATGATTGACAATATATAGAATCAACATTGTATGATTTACAATATATAGAATCAACATTGTATGATTGACGATATATAGAATCAGCATTGTATGATTGACAATATATATAATCAACATTGTATGATTGACGATATATAGAATCAGCATTGTATGATTGACAATATATAGAATCAACATTGTAATGATTTACAATATATAGAATCAACATTGTATGATTGACGATATATAGAATCAGCATTGTATGATTGACAATATATATAATCAACATTGTATGATTGACGATATATAGAAATCAGCATTGTATGATTGACAATATATAGAATCAACATTGTATGATTTACAATATATAGAATCAACATTGTATGATTGACGATATATAGAATCAGCATTGTATGATTGACAATATATAGAATCAACATTGTATGATTGACGATATATAGAATCAGCATTGTATGATTGACTTAATACAGAATCAACATTGTATGATTGACGTAATATAGAATCAACATTATATGATTAACAGGGTACTGAGAGTAATCCAGGCATAAACCAGAGAGCTCTAGCAGAACTGTTTGAGGAGACAGCGGCCAGGGTAGACTGGGAGTTCAGCATTACTGTTAGTGTGATAGAAATATACAACGAAATGATCAGGTACTTTATACTGTCTCAAAATCTTCCTCCATTTTAACCCTTCACAACCTGATTTTGTGTTATGAATTTGGCCTGCGTTTGATTTAAATTTGGGACAGTCCATCTGAAGTGTAAAGGTACAAAAATTGAGCTTTCAGGTCAGGTGCAGCAAGGCTTTCTTGGTTCTAAAGTGGAGGCAGAGGCTAATTACTTATGGTTACATTAGGGTGAGGGATAAATAGTGTATCAAAGGGTTAATATCCAAGTGATTCCAAGCCAAGATTATTTTCTCGAATATTTCGGAGGGGGGGGGTGGGGAATCATCAGAAGTGCCAAATTTCTGCATTACTCAAATGCATACTGAATGTAAGATTGCGTATTATCATTTCCATAATATGTTTTGAAGTAATGCTGTTCAAATTTCACTAAAATTTTGTTTTCATTCTTGCAATTAACCGTTCTAAAATATGGCCATTTAATAAATTACATAGGGTGTATTTACAAAATATTAAATTTTATTTATTTTGCAGGAAAAATATGAGGTAGAATGATGCTTATTTCTTTTAAGCGCAATGTTTAATAGATAATTTTGTGTTTGTAATCAGGATATTTCTGTGTATTCATGGTTGTTTTATTTTTCCTATTCTATTTACCAGAGACCTTCTAGGTGATGATACATCATTTAAGATGGAGGTGAAGATGAACCCGGACGGTGGCTATCATATACCTGGACTGTGTTATGTTACTGTACAGTCAGTAGCAGATGTAAATGAGGTAAATATTAGCTCAATATAGTAGATGCTAGCTGAGGACTTAATAAAATATGATGCTAGCTCAGGATTAAATCAAATATTTAACATTTGATGTGTCTTGAACAGCTTGTTTAAAATTGAATGCAGCAGATACATATTTCTTGTTATTTGTAGAATATGAATTTTTATATATTAATGAATTATTTCATACATGCCATAACGTCCCGTATACCCAGGACAGTCCCGGAAATAAGGTGTCTGTCCCTGAGATGATTTATGTCCCGGTAAAAAAAAATCTAAAATAATCGACTTTGAAGCAAGAAATTTTACATTTTTATATAATTTTATTGTCAAGTTTTATAAACTAGTCTAGAACGCTAATAACGAGCGATTATCCCCTAACAGTAATGGTGACACTAATCCTTTGATTGGTATATCTACGTGCCCCTTCCAACAAATAATTATCGGCAATAATTTTGATCAATTAAAAGATTAATTGTTTACCCCATGTGGCTTCCTGAGCGAAGGTGTCATACACTGTAATTAACAACTGGCCAGTATAAATTTAATCCTATTAGTGGTCAAACACCGTGAAAATTACCGCTAAATTTGAGGTGATAAAATCTACAAGATTCAGCGAATGTTTCAGGTTAACGACATGGCTAATTGTCATTACTTAACATAGCTTTATTCTATTCTGTGACTGATTGAATTAACGATGCCTAAATACTTAAAAATGATAGAAAAACTATTAATATTTATTGACATTCTGTCTTTTGTTTATGGTGTCATTAAATTTGCAAGTTGTAAATACTGGTAATATAGGTTGTATGCCACTATGTAAATTTTAAAAAAAAATACGTTTGCTGATCAATGCCCCACCTCCAAATGAAAAGTGTCCCGGAAATGAGTGTAAAAATTATGGCATGTATGATTATTTTATTTTTTTTTTCAATGTAACTAATAGAAATTTGAAAACCAACAATTGACTGCATAATGACCATTCTATAAAAGGATAATATTTGTAGACTACTGGAAACAGTTTGATATTTTATTTGACATATCTAAAGTTTGTTTTTAGTTGCACAGAATGTTATCATTCGTAGATATTCTAATCATGCAAGATACTTGGTCATTCACTCACTAAACATTTACTTGACCAGCCATAAATTTATATATGTTAAATTAAAGCAACAATCGCCTGTCTCGTCGTTATCTCTTTTGTTGTCTCAAAGGGTTTAATTGTTTCTCTACAGTGTTTCAGAATAGGAACACAGAACCGTGCCACGGCAGCCACGAACATGAATGAACATTCTTCACGATCTCACGCTCTCCTATGTGTAACTGTGATAGGCTTCAATAAAACCACTGCTGCTAAAACCACAGGTTTGTTACATCTAATCCTTTTCATTTCAATATCAAATATATAATAATATATATACACCCACCCCCAAATTTTTTTTGACCCCTACTGTTGCTTTAAGTTTGTTGCACCCGAGGTTAAACAAAATCATCTTTCCTGTTTTTGCGCAGTATGATATAAATTGTGTTTGTGTGCCTTTAAGCCAAATAAAACCAATAGAAATCTTGAATGGATTTGCCCATCTTTTAATCTGGACAAGACCATTCACCATTTTTAGGGACAATTTTAAGATTTGTTCTGAGTGAACAGTGCAGACCATGATCAGATGATATTATGTACTGGCTGATCTTGGTCCACACTGGTTGCATTGGTAGAATTTATAGCATCCATGGTTGCATTGGTAGAATTTATAGCATCCATGGTTGCATTGGTAGAATTTATAGCATCCATGGTTGCATTGGTAGAATTTATAGCATCCATGGTTGCATTGGTAGAATTTATAGCATCCAGCAGGCTAAAGGTTAATACAGTTATACATGTACATTAGTAATTCATGTTACTTAATGTTATTTCTTTCTCTTTTCACATATATCTCTTAAATGTGCATATCATTCTTTGAAATATTGTTATGTTTTATAGAATTTCTTCTTTTATAACTGATGCAGACACAGGTTTAATTCTTCTATGTGATGAAAGTCAGTAAATCACATAATTATACCCCTTTAATGTGCAAATCATTCTTTGAATTAATGTTATGTTTTATAGAATTTCTTCTTTTATAACTGTTGCAGACACAGGTTTAATTCTTCTATGTGATGAAAGTCAGTATCCAAGTGAGGGAGGATGAAAAATATTAAAAGTTCATTTCTAATAATTAAGTCATGCTTCGGACTGTAGATTTATACCTAAACATACACAAATTCACCACTATGTACACAATTTATGCTTAAAGAACAGATCACTGTTGTGTAAACAACACATGTAGAGAATTATTTTGATTTACAGGCAAGCTCAATCTTGTTGATCTGGCTGGCTCAGAGAGAGTAAGCAAGTCTAAGGCTGATGGTGCTAGACTGAAAGAAGCCCAGTGTATAAACAAGTCACTGTCATCACTAGGGGACGTAATCTTTGCTTTAAGGTCAAAGCAGAGTTACATCCCTTACAGAAACTCCAAGTTGACCTACTTATTGCAAGATTCATTAGGTAAGTTTATATTTTACTACACATATAATTGCTTATGATTTGGAAAAGAAATGGTGTTATTTTGATAATTATTTTGTCACCTTAGTGCAGTAATGGGTTAACTCCTTATATGATTTACTAGGAGTTAGCTTGTTACTGCACTGAGGTGACTATTTGTCCATTCCATCATGTAATGTTTAATGAAATGTCACCAAACTGTATAGTGAGTTACTAGTTGCATGCTGACAGTGTCTTAATATGTTCAACTGGGGAAAGGGTTATTTCCCTTTATATAGTCAAAATTATGCTTGAAGGGGTCTTTCTTGTGTTATAGAGCCAGTCTGCCTTTTTAGGTCAATAATTATTTTTGTCACTATTGATAACAAATATAGCATTTTTGGCTGGGTTGCACAAGTGCAAACCCTGGTTATAGTATGGTGAATGTCATGCGGCGTGTGGGCAGGGAAAAATTTTTCATAACAGTTTTCTCAGCACTGAATTATCACAGCCTCTTGATATTTGGTATACAGCATTAACATGTGGTCTCATATGGTGGGATTTCGATTTCAGGTCTGTCGCTCATCCACTTCCTGTTTACCGACTTAGTTAAATTATTTTTTGACGTTAATGGTAGAAAATTTTCGTAATTCTACAGCATCATGATATTTAAAATGCAACCCGGCCATTTCTGTCTTTGACCATTTTTATTTGTATCAAATGAGATTTGTACAGCTTATAATTCTTTGTAGGTGGTGATAGTAAAACTCTCATGATCACGCAGATTGCCCCAGTTAGGAAAAATGAAGGGGAGACAATCTGTTCCCTCAATTTTGCACAGCGTGTTAGGAATGTAGAACTTGGTGCAGCCACTAGAAAGTTGGAGAATGGGGATGGGACAGAGGTAAACACTAAGATTTATTTCAATAATTTTATTCCAAATGAGTTTATTGACTGTCTTCACTGCAAATATTAACACTCCACTCATCAAGTTGTCATTTAATGCATTGATCAGGGTTTTTAACTCTGAAATATGACTTAACTCTATCTTGATCACTTGCACCACACTGTCCTGTACATACTTTGAACTCCTACATTTAAAAAAGCTGTCCAGCAAAATTAAGGTCTGTGGTTCTACATAGATGCCTGTTTGTGTCTGAAATAATGCATGGAGGGGCACCTGAGACCTTCCTCACCAGCTAAGCTTGAAAGACACTGTACAACTAAGTGCAGGTGTGGCATAAAATTAGTCAGAAGGAAGAAAATGTTTAAAGGTGCATGCCTCCAGATGAGCCAAAGAAAATTAAACTTGAGAAAAATGTAGTAAGATTTTAAGAAAAGTAAAAAGATTTAAGATTCAAGTAATAATTTACATGGTATATGCAATTAGGACTGATTTTACAGTATTTGTCATCATATTTCTACTGAGTTACTAACTATTTTTGCTTATTTTGACCTATTTTTGTAATTTATATGGATTACAAGTGCTGCTTGCAATGTGTAAATTATTTCACTTTTAAATACATTTCTAAAATTTTCATGAAAATAAGTGTGAATCTGGAGGCATGCTGCTTTAAAAGCAAGCCACTTTTAAATAACTTGAAATTACTATTAATATCTGTATTTATCACTGTATTTCATTTTCATTTACGTTTGTTTTTCTGGTTACAAACACATTAATAATAATTTTGCACATTAAAATTTCTTCTCACTACCAACAAAGTTTTTGTTAATAATTAAACGTTATCTTATTCTAACATCTGTTGCTGCTCAAAGTTGCAAAGGCCATTCAAAATAATGTAATTATGTTTTAGCGATTTTATGACAGTATGCAAAGATACTTTATACATGTCAAATGATTTTAAAATAAAACTTAATCTATTCCTGAATTTACTTGTTCTTTTATTGAAAAATGTTGGAAAATATTGTATTCTAATGAAAGCTGTAAGATTTTGGCAAACATTAAATGAATCAGTAAAGTTAAAATTTGCTTTAAATTATCAATTTGAGCTAAAATTGGGGGGAAAAAATAGTCTCTAAAGAACGCCTAAAACAGTAAAATTGAAACAGTTGCAGGTTTGGTTAAATTGCACCTGTTCATGAATAGTACTGGACAGTGCAAGCTACCGTCTACACACCTGCTGGCACAAACCAACTTGATGGAACATAATTTTGAATGGCCTAGCGTTGTTGATAATGTTTTTGTTAATTTATGGTTTAACAACTTTAATGATAATCACCTATGTGTATGTCTATATTAGGCGTTTCAGACACCACGTCGTGGAGTACGAACCTAAATCATCAACATCATCATCACCTTATCATCATTCATCATCAGTAAGAATCTTTCCTTTGTTAATATATAAGATTATCATCTTTTTTTCCCTGTCATTGTGCATGATACGGTGAAGCAACTAACATTGTAATCTACTTCCCTTTTATCCTGTTAGGTTTTGACCCTATTCTAGATATTTTGTTTTGGTTAGTTTATTAAGCTGTCTTATAAAATGTTCAAATTTCTACTTTGGAAGCTTACTCGAGCCTAGAAAAATATTTTAATGGAGATTGGCAGTCTTCCTATGACCATAAAATTTGATATATCTTATTATATTTGACAATGGTTTGGAGGCAAAATTTATATTCAGTCATTTTTTCATCCTTATTTATTCACAAGTTTGGCAGCTTGCCCACTTTTATTTAAGGTTTTTTTTTGGTGTGAATTGATACAAATGTGATACTTCCTGATTAAAGATAAAATTTCATCTTTTAAAATCTGGCCAATCATAAATTTGTTGCAGGAGGTGTGCATTGAAGTTAAGGTATAATCCCTAGATTGGTTATTTGCTTGTTATATATTCTTGTATATTTATTTACACATTATTTACGTCCAGTCTTTTTAATGTGTTTGCTTTTGCATGTTGTGTTATGGTTTGATGTTTGTTTATATAGTACAGTTTTTCACTGTTCACTATATAGTCTTGTTTTTTTTATTGTTTGTATACTCAGTTAACTAGAATATATCATATTGAAAATAGATTTTTTTATGAGATTTATTCATGATAATGAGTAATTTGGGAAGTCCCCACTTGAATCCACACTTCATAGCAGCCATATCATTTTGAAAGATCTGAAAAAAGTACCAAAGATTGAATAATTATAGCTTTGATTGATCAGCATACCCTTCACAGCTGTCAGATCACATACACTTCACTGCTGTAAGATCACATACCATACACATCTGTCAATCACATACCCTACACAGCTGTCAGATCACATACCCTACACTGCTGTAAGATCACATACCATATACATCTGTCAATCACATACCCTACACTGCTGTTAGATCACAAACCCTCCACAGCAGTTAGATCACATACCCTCCACAGCAAGTAGATCACAAACCCTTCACAGCTGTTAGATCACATACCCTTCACAGCTGTTAGATCACATACCCTCCACAGCTGTCAGATCACAAACCCTTCACAGCTGTTAGATCACAAACCCTCCACAGCAGTTAGATCACAAACCCTCCACAACAGTTAAATCACAAACCCTTCAAAGTTGTCCGATCACATACCCTTCACAGCTGTTAGATCACATACCCTTCAAGCAGTAAGATCACAAACCCTTCACAGCTGTTAGATCACATACCCTTCCATGTGTCAGATCTCATACTTTTCAATCAGTAAAATCACATACCCTTCACAGCTGTCAGATCACATACTCTTCAAGTAGTAAGATCACAAACTATTCACAACTGTCTGATGATATACTCTTCACAGCTGTCAGATCAAATACCCTTCACAGCTGTCAGATCATATATCCTTCATAACTGTTAGATCACATACACATTACATCTGTCTTGTCACATATCCTTAACGTCTGTTCGATATTATATTGGCGGTTAACAAAACTTTTGCTCAATTTGAGTTATTCAGGTTCATTCCTGAAATAATTTAAACCCCAAAAATTTATTTGTAGAAAACCACCAGTTTGATACTTGAAAATTCCATTAAACTTTATGAAAAGCTTTAGAGTTATGCCCCATTTTATTTTATAATTTTTGTCAGAATGAGTTATAATTTCAAAACTTATAATGAAAGATATCAACATGATAATTGGAATCCTTGATAATCATGACCATGCATTGTTGTAAGACTATTTTCCTGAAAGCAATATTTTAGGAGTTATATCCCTTTTTAATCTATAATATTTATAAAAAGTGGATATTGATAGTTGTTGCCCTTTACAGATGACCGTTAACACCAGATGGCAGTGCTCTTGTTTTATCTTGTATTTTTATCTCCTTACTGTAAAGATTTATAATCATGTGTGTAAACTGTGTTCTTTTGCATGCAAGTTGTATTTATCAAACATTTAGTATGTTGTTTGTACTTAAACAAAATAACTTGTTTTAAATGCAAGAAATATTTTTAAGCATTAAATTTAATGGAAACTGTACCTTAAATAAATTGCATTATGGGGTCATATTGTGTTTGAAGTTATACATAATATTTTATGACACAAAGATAGTTTATGACACAAAGATCAGAAAAGATCAACAACAAAATGTGACTATAACCATTCTTTTAGATACATTATGTGTAAATGTGTAATTTCATTCTTTTATTTGATTTTTGCCTATTCCAGAATGATCCTTCTTCACCAGCTAGAACATATTCCACACCACAGAGAATGAACATGGTTAACAAATCAAGTACACCTACATCTTCATTGGCGCTGAAATCAAGCACACCTTCAAATATTGCAAATAAAGCCAGTACACCTTCTTCCAGCTCGAAACTCACACCAGTACGACATGCAAGAAAGAAATAATAATTACATGTATTTAAATATAAAAGAAATACAAGCATAAAGTCTTGCCAAGTTACACATACTAACACATTTGTTAAGCTTTTAACATAGAATTACTCAGTGTAAGCTTTGATGGTACCTAAATACATATACCAAGTAACCGATGGTGTAGAGGAATGTCCGGTCAGACCTTGTACATGTGGCAAATTTCTGTAACTAATACTCTTAGCATTTAAAACAAGCTCTTGCCATATTAGGAAAATGAATGGATTATTTATAGCTGATATTAAATGACTATATCTAACAGAGTTTAAATATTAGTTTTTTGATATTAAAGAAATATGGGCATAACAAGATATTATAGGATTTCTTAATTACAGGTTGTGTTTATTTTTAAAGACATTTTTCAATTTTGAAAGAATGTTCATGCACCTTACATATGCTATTTATGTACCGGGAATGATTTCTAGGTGCACTTGTACGTTTGTTTAAATAACAGATTTTTCTTTGTTGATTGCTTATCATAATAATTTTAACTTGTTTACAACTTATTGCATTGGTTCAGATACCAGTTTAATATTCAGGGTTTCACTCTTTATATTAAAATGCTAAATAAGAACTTGATATATTGGGCAAATTTAACCAAAAGTCACAATTGAATCACCATTCAAGATTTTATTTCAAGGCCAACTTGTTTACTTCTTGTTTACTTCTGAATTGATAACAAATATTTTCATTTTGAATGAATTTGATAACTGGTATATAATTTATTTTGATTTTGAATCAGTTTAGTTAGTTAAGGCACAGTGATTGGTTAACTATTTTAAGAAATTAGTGGGTTTTTTCCCCAGCCAGTGGTTAACAACAACAACAAGTTTAAACTTTGAAATGCCTGTACTATATAAAGCTGATGTTACATGCATTTAATTATTAGACTGTAACCTTGCAATTTATAGCTTGTATAATGAACAATTAAAACTACACTATGATTGTCCAGTGCATGATTTTATTGCCTATACTGCTGACCCATGTGTTCTTCGGATTAAGAATTGAGAAAATCATGACATTGTTTTTGTCTTATTTTTTATCCCACCTGTGAGATTGGTTTCCAAAAAATGGTTTGGATTGGTTGCACAAGTAGGACACCGGGTAAAAAATGTGTTTTAAAAATGTAAAATTTCAAATGAAAAAAAAAATTGAAAGTTCAAGAACCTTGACATAATATTACCCTTTCTATGACGGTATATCAACTGCCATTATCCACACACATACATTTCCTCCTAAACCACAAGGTGGGTTTTGATCAAACTTTACTGTTGGCGATCCTCTACAAATACTACATGAATGCTTCTATTCTAATGCATAACTAAGTCACTGCAGCTAAACATGTACTTTTAAGATGAAACCCAGAGCTTTACATATTTGGCATCACCTTGTGTCTGTTACAAAGGCTGTATTAATTATGTTCATGGGGTCAAAATATGCCCGCACTGGGAGTCGCTAGTTTTGATACACTTAAATAAAACAGGTGCATTCGCGCCGCCTTCACATCCACTTCTGAAATGTTCCCAAATAAACCCTTAATCACCTGAATTTAAAAGATTAGCTGTTCTTATTAAAAATTTGTATTCAAAATTTTCTACTCGCAAATGTCAACGTAACGATCGATGCTCGCATTGGTCAATATTTTCCATCTCCGCTTTCTGTCTGTCACCCAGTAATCATTTAGTACTGTTGAAATGGGAGATCGGGACAGCATTAACATTGACAAACCGTATTTGAATGTCTGAATACAACAAAAAGGGTCCAACTGCACAATTTCACACCTTTTGTCCACATATTTTCCCCGAGGGACTCCTCCTGTACCTATCCCCACTCGTAGCTACTCATACAAGCGGATGGTCTTGTACATTGTCAGCCCCTAATTTCCCTTGCGCCACAACTTACCAGAAATCATAGAACCACCCCTGTAAGAAAGCACAGTAGATTTTAGATAATTTGTTTGAAACTACAATGTACAAAGCTTTGGTATGTTGGCATGTAGTATTGCCAAGCGGACCTTAATAGAACTTACACAAATCACGTCCTTTTGGTCACAAGTCAGACTTAAATTATGGGTTTTAAAAAAAACTAATTTAGAAACCACAGTGCATAGAGCCTAGATATTTGGCTTGCGGCATCATCTTATGGTCTTTTAAAAAAACCAAGCTCCTTATTCATAATTTGCCCTGCCCTAGGGGTCACTTTATTTACAGAAATTTATACAGAATTACATACATATTTAGAGTCTCTTATATGAATCTACCCAGAGCTTAAGTATTTGGCATGCATTGCCGTAAATGTATGTATTTCGCCCATAGTTTAATGACAAAGCCCAGGGGGAACTTAGTTTACAAAGAAAGCAAACTATAGAAGTCTTATCAGCAGGAACCACTATGACCATCATTAGATTAGATTAGATATTTGGATTGTAGCATCCGATTGTGGTCCTATACAAACTTTATGAAAATCATGCTTCTTTGGTTGGGTCGAAGTTGGACCTGACCAGGAGGGTCACTTAGATTACATAGACCATACTTTAGATATTTGGGACATGTAATCTTGAGTTTATTAACAAAAGTTACATACTAGAAAATCACGCAACACAAACTCTTTAGCACACACACGCACACTGTTAAAACTTATTTTGTGTAAATTATTTGTGCATCTATCACAACTTTTCAATTTACCAAAAAACGCAGGTTATGCAATTAATCATATCATAGTTAATCTAATGATCAGTGACAAAAACAGTTTTGCGTTTAGATGATCATAAGAAGATAAATAAATAATCGTCACATTTATCTCTCGTTTGAGTTTATTTGCGATGTTTGTTTTTGCCTCTCTATTACTGATCTCTATTAAAGGCACATGATGCCTCAAAAAATAATATATATAAGCCGCGTCACGACAAAACCAACATAATGGGTTTGCGACCAGCATGGATCCAGACCAGCCTGCGCATCCGCGCAGTCTGATCAGGATCCATGCTGTTCGCTTACAAACCCTATTACAAGTAGAGAAACTGATAGCGAACAGCATGGATCCTGATCAGACTGCGCGGATGCGCAGGCTGGTCTGGATCCATGCTGGTCGCAAACGCATTACGTTGGTTTTGTCGTGACGCGGCTCATATTTTTTTTACTTCTTTAGAAAGGGCCACCATGAAGTTCATTACGTTTATATAATGGTTTTAGAGCATGCTAGGTGTTTGTTACCTGAAGAAAGTAGCGCTTTATGTAAAATAATTTGTTATAGATGTAGCAAAATGTAAACAAAGTAGTATTTTAAATTCCATACGAAATACCAAATAACTATATCTGTAGGCAACAGAAGAAAAATAAATGATTCGAGTATTTGTATTTTGCCAATGAGTAGCTTTTCGAACCTAAAAAAGTACACCAAAATGGGAAAAAAAAATTTTGAGAAATGAAAATAAAAACATTTCTGGTGTGTGATGGGCCTTTAAAATTTGTTACAGAACTTTATATACCATAGTTAAATGTGTGTGCTTGCAACTGTTTTTGCATATTACCCAACTTCATATTCTAACTTCATTTTAAATATTACTGTGTCTACTCATGCAGTAACATAAATAACACATAACATTACACTTTTTTTTTTTAGAAATTTATGTCTTTGTACGATGAATTAAACTCGCATATTTGTTTGTTATTTTCTCACGTTTACCAACTGAATGTAACCTATCCGTGTTGAGCGCACGTTCGGCCACTTTCGTTTCGTTGAGTTCATTAATTACCCTGCAAGAAGCAGCAAAAACATATCGCCTTTTAGTTACCATAACAACAATATGAATTGGCACATTAGACCAGAACATTAACTTTTGCATGCTTTTTACATATAACCTTCGAAAAGAAACTGTTCATTCTACTGAAATGTTTAAGGAACAGCTTTTCAAAATTCAAAGAAAGACATAAAGATTAACTCCAAATTTACACGGAATCAATTTTAAGACATGCCGACGGACAGGATGTCGAACCCCCGCTCGTCTTAATTCAAACCTGAACCTATAAGCTTCAGATCAAGGAGAAAGATGTATACATAGGTGAGATGTGCGCAACACATCCTCTTTATACCCAAGATTGCATTATCTTAGGTGTTTTTGGCCTCTGACCCGATGACCATGTTTATGTGCTTGAAACAGTGTCTTATGATGAACATTTATCCTTAAAAACTCAATGCATGTTATTTGAAAATTCCTCCATGCACACAGAAGTTATGGCATGGACAAGTTTAGATACACGCACTCACACACAAACATTGAACAGCTATTTTGACAACTATGTCGAGCTCAGCGTAAGCAGACTCGACAAAAATCCTCTGACCACAAAGCATAATACATCAAAGCATAAGCAAAATACAGTGCGGACAAGCAAATTTTGATATTTTTCGCGCGACACTCCGCCTCACTATGGAGAACATTTGGCACAAGTTATATTAAAATCCCGCCACGCATGTAGAATGCTCCGGACACGGGGTTTGCGCCGACCCCTAAGTGTGACATTCGCCTTTGAGTGGCGGACCTGGTTTTGCGAATGACACACCACCCTATCATGGTGAATATTTGTATCAAACTATTTTATGATAAGACTACATAACTCTTCAAAGAATGAGCAAGATATAGACCGGATAAATCTAGACCGACGTACGGACTGACGGACGCACATACACCAAACTGCCAAAAGTGAAAAGTAGCGACTGTTGTCTCAGATTTTGAATCCAGTCAATCAACAAAGAACAAGTCAATATATATATATATATATATGTATGTATGTGTATGTATGTAGCCCCCCCCCCGCCCCCTGGCGGTGTGTGAATAAGATGCAAGGCTGCAGGACAGGGCTGGGAATCAAAACTGCGTCGTATCCTACAAAATGTAAACAAACGCCGCCATCTTGGAACGAAAATGTAGGTTTTTGTTTATAACTCTTTTTGTTGGAAATGACTGAAAACCAGATATATGTATT